AGTTAAAGCACCCTCATCTACTAAAGCATCCTGCATTCCTGCATACCGTTTAGCATAACCTGAACTGGGCAATTCATTGTATAATCGTGTATGTTGGACTTTCTCACTAGGTTATAAATCCATCTCTCCCTGGAGAAATGTCAACTCTGATAAAATACACTTTGCCAGTGTACCTTTCCTGCACTTAACCTGTGAACACCTGCTGACTTTTTTTTTGGGGGGGCTGGCGCCATGGCTCACTAGGCTAATCCTCTGCCTGCGGCACCAGCACCCAGGTTCTAGTCCTGGTTGGGGTGCCGGGTACTAGTCCTGGTTGCTCCTCTTCCAGTCCAGCTCTCTGCTGTGGCCCGGGAGGGCAGTGGAGGATGACCCAAGTGCTTGGGTCCCTGCTCCTGGCTTCAGATCGGCGTAGCGCCGGCCGTAGCGGCCATTAGGGGAGTGAACCAACGGAAGGAACACCTTTCTCTCTGTCTCTTTCTCACTGTCTATAATTCTCTGTCTCTCTCACACTCTAACTGCCTGGCCAAAAAAAAAAATTAAAAAAAAAAAAAGATTTATTTATTTGAAAGGCAGAGTTACAAAGAGGCAGAGGCAGAAAGAGAGAGAGAGGTCTTCCCATTTGATGGTTCACTCCCCAAATGTCTGCAATGGCTGGGGCTGAGCTGATCTGAAGCCAGAAGCTTCTTCTGGGTCTCCCATGTGGGTGCAAGTGCACTTTCCCAGGCCATAGCAGAGAGCTGGATTGGAAGTGGAGCAGCCAGAACTTGAACTGGTGCCCATATGGGATCTCAGCACTGCAGGTGACGGCTTTATCCTCTACACCACAGCGCCAGGCCATGACCTTTTTTTTTTTTTTTTAAAGATTTATTCATTTTTTTGAAAGTCAGAGTTACACACAGAGAAAAGGAGAGGCAGAGAGAGAGAGATATTTGATCCGCCAGTTAACTCTCCAGTTGGGTGCGCCGATCTGAAGCCAGGAGCTTCCTCTGTGTCTCCCACGTGGGTGCAGGGGCCTAAGGATCTGGGCCATCTTCTACTGCTTTCCCAGGCCACAGCAGAGAGCTGGATCGGAAGTGGAGCAGCTAGGACTTGAACCGGCACCCAAATGGGATGCCAGCACTGCAGGCAGTGACTCTACTGCTGTGCTACAGTGCCGGCCCCTGACTGTTCTTAGGCTGAGTTGGTGGTCTCCTCTGATGGCCAGCAGGCCTTGTCCTGAGCACTGTCGTTGCACTTCCTGTTCCTTCCTTCGCTCACTCTTCCTCTTTCCTCCCTTCCAGCTGCAGTATTTGCTTCTTGATTCTCTGAGATGGAAGCAGTTGAAGAGGACTTCTGTACCCTTCCTCCCCTAGAGGCCTGCGTTCATGGCAGCACCTGTCCTCTTGCAGTAATGGGGCGTAATCTTTCCCTGTCTTTAAGGTCCTGTCTGCTGTCCTCCTTGTAGATGTTGCCCTTACAGTGATTCCTTCTGTCTTGCATCATCAAGTTTGTCCCCTTTTTGGATCCTTCCTAACAGCACACATCTGACCCACAGCTTATCAAGATTCATCACCTTGGTGGTTTGCTCATGATGACAGTCTCACAGGTGTCACTTGTGCCCCTTTCTCTGCCAAGGTACACTTCTCTCCAGCCAGCTTTGTGCCCCTGCCACTCTACTGGGCCTTGATCATTTATCCCCTCCATGTTGTCCACACAGTTTCAAGTAACTTTTTAGGTGCCTTAATTGCATTTATTGCTGTTTCTCTCCCTCCAACATATACCTTATTTCTATCATTTTCTTCCTTCACCTTGAGTGTTATTGTCTGGGTCTCTTTTCTCCAGACTTCTGGGTCTCTGACACACTACCCACTTACCTGTGGGAGTTCTTCCTGACCTTCCACCTTCTTGTCTGGGCGTTTACCTCTCCTGATACTTCCCTCTCACCCGTGTGTGGGTCTCCTCTCCTGACCCTCCACCTGCCTACCTGCTTTCCTCCTACAGTTGTCTATCACTGATCTCACTCAGTACTCCAGGCTTTAATTATCTTCTGTGGTTTCTGACCCTCAGCTTCCAAACCATCTTTGACTCCGTTTTTAATCCAAACTTTTGTAGCCATCTTTCTTACTCAGTCTCTGGATATCCCGCAGACAAGATGAAGTAATTTGTCCGAAGTTAGGTTCTGGTCTCCTCTACATGCTTCTTCCATTGTGCTACTTGTCTCAGAAAATGTCAGCATTATTCACCCACTGGTTTAGGCCTTTTAACTTTAAATTGTGAATTCCTGTATTTTTCTCATATTCTGTTGGTTTGTCTGCAAGTCCTGACTGTTACACAGAGGATGTTTTAATTTTGCCTTTCTTTGCAATTCTGTAGCCACCACTGTAGTCCAGCTTGTGATCTCTTACTTGTATACACTTCCATAATCTCCTACTGATTTCCCCCTATTGTTTTCTATGGTTGCTGTAATAAAATACCATAGGCTGGTCAGCTTAAATAACAAATTTATGTTATTATTTCATGAAGGTTAGAAACCCAGGACCCCACAGTTGTCATCAGGGTTGGTTTCTCTGAGGTCTCTCTCCTTGGCTTGCAGATTGCTGTCTTCCTGCTATGTCCTCACATGGCCTTTCCTCTGTATATGTCTGTATTGTTAATCTCTTCCTATATAAGGGCACCAGTCATTTCAACTTAATTACCTCTATAAAGGCCTTTCATTTTTTCCCCCTATTTGCTAGCACAAACCAGATTATATCATATTGTTGGAAAAGCTGTATGATGATTTTTCAGCAGAGTAAAATTCAAAGTTCTTTCCTTATTCTACCATTTTTTAATTTTTTCAAGAATTATTTATTTTAAAGGCAGAGTTAAAGAGAGGGAGAGGCAGAGAGAGAAGTCTTCCATCTGCTGGTTCACTCCTCAAATGGCTGCAGTGGCCAAGGCTGGACCAGACTGAAGCCAGGAGCCAGGAACTTCATCAAGGTCTGCTGAATGAGGATGCAAGGGGCTATGCACTTGAGCCACCATCTGCTGCTTTCCCAGGCACATTAGCAGGGAGCTGGATTGGAACTGGAGCAACCAGTACTCGAACTGGCACCCATATGGGGTGCTAGTGCTGGAGGCAGAGGCTTAAGCCATTATGCCACAGCGCTGGCCCCTCTACCAGGTTCTTTTTTTCTTTTTTTTTTTTTTTTAAAGATTTATTTATTTATTTGAAAGTCAAAGCTACACAGAGAGAGGAGAGGTAGAGAGAGACAGAGGTCTTCCATCCGCTGGTTCACTCCCCAGTTGGCTGCAACAGCCAGAGCTGTGCTGATCTGAAGCCAGGAGCCGGGAGCCAGGAGCTTCCTTTGGGTTTTCCATGTGAGTGCAGGAGCCCAAGGACTTGGGCCATCTTCTGCTGCTTTCCAAGGCCACAGCAGAGAGCTGGATGGGAAGTGGAGTAGCTGGGACTTGAACAGGCACCTCTATGGTTTGCCAGTGCCTCAGGCCAGGGCGTTAACCTGCTGTGCTACCAGGTTTTACATATGCTGTTTCCTAGGTCATGTCTCCCCCTGCACTATGCCCAGTGTACAACTGGCAGACTCTGTCTAGTGCACAAGGACCCTTACACTTGCTCCCTCTGCTTGGGATGCTGTTCCCCTTGGTGTTCCATGCCTTACTCTCAGGTTTTCCTCACATTCTGGTTCAAATGTTACCTTACCAGAATATTTTCTAGAAATTTTATATAAAATAGCAATTCCTTAACTATGTCTTATTTTTTCTTCATAGTGTTTATTTTACTACCTGATTCTCTGTATACGTACATCTGACATATTCCATATTAGTGCATACATGTGACATTCCCATGCACGTCTGTGTACATGTGACATATATTATACTAGTGTGTGCATATGTGTTACTTACAATACTTGCATATGTGTACCTATGACATATATTCCCATATTTGTGTGTGGGGGAGCAGTCTGTCTTGCTAGAATAATAGTCCTCTGAGGACAGGGACTGTTTCAGTCTTGTTTACTCCAGCATTCTTGCCACATAGAATGAGCATAGTGTTACCTGTGACAGGCATCACCTCTCACCTTCTCTGCTGTCTGGGACCTGGTACATTGTAAGCATCTGATCGTTATTTGTTGAGTGAATAAACAAGTTTTCTTAAAGAATTGAAGCCTAGGATGTTATTTTTACATTATCCTTGCTTTTGACAAAAGACTTCAATGATACTGTAAGAAATTATAACAGTAGAATTCTAGGTGTATTTTAAATAGGCTCATAAGAATTGAAATGCCTTTTTTTAAATTAAAGATTTATTTATTTATTTGAAAGTCAAAGTAACACAGAGAGAAGAGGCAGAGACAGAGAGGTCTTCATCTGCTGGTTCACTTCCCAACTGGCTGCAGTGGCTGGAGCTAAGCTGATCCAAAGCCACTACCCAGGAGCTTCCTCCGGGTCTCCCACGAGGGTGCAGGGGCCCAAGGACTTTGGGCCGCCTTCTACTGCTTTCTCAGGCCAGAGCAGAGAGCTGGATTGGAAATGGAGCAGCCGGGACATAAACTGGCACCCATATGGAATGCTGGCAGTGTTTTTACCTGCTATAGTAGGCAGTGGTTTTACCTGCTATACCTCAGCAGTGGCCCACAAATACATTTTTTATTGTGGTAAATTATTGACTTCTAATTGTAATTTTTAGTTTCGTATTACATTTCTAGTAATAAGTAGAGAAAAGTTAAAATGTTTTTTCAACATTTCGTCATTTTATTGGTTAGTGGTCATGAATTATAGCTTCATTTGATGTCACAGTAGCCTTAATTTATTTTCTTAGATTTGGCCTGTGGTTTTAACCAAGTTATGAAATTGATAAACATTCATTTAGCACCAGTTAGTGCCAGACTGCTGTGATATTGCTCAGTATGATGAAAGAGTTGCCTTACAAAGTTAAATGAGAACCATCTGATAGTTTAGCTGTGTCAGAAAAATCTCAGGATTCCCAGGACATTTTTTTTTTTTCTGATTTTTAACATTAGCAACAAATATCTGGAGAAGATGAAATTGAGTGCTCTGATAAAGATGAACCTGATATTGATGGAGATGTGTCCAGTGACTGCCCTACCATTCGAATTCCACTGACATCTCTCAAGAGCCACCAGGGCGTGGTCATAGCTGCTGACTGGCTGGTTGGAGGCAAGCAGGCAGTGACAGCTTCCTGGGACAGAACAGCGAACCTGTATGATGTTGAGACATCTGAACTTGTTCATTCTCTGACAGGTACCGTACTTTAAATGTTTGAACTTTCTGGTTATGCACTTTGATTTATGTTTGTTTATGTCTGATCTTGCAAATTATTTCTTGGCTAGAACTAACTGTACTCTGTTGTTGGCTCCTTGATTGTAATTTTCTGAAGTCCTTTCTAATAGAACTATTGGTAGCTAAATGGATTTTATCTTTAGAGGACTTAACCGTAGTGTGTATTACCTAGATATTTGAAATATGGGTGATATCCTTTTGTTCTATAACAAATTTCTGCAAACTTAGTGGCTCTATAAAACAATAGGAATTTATTACCTCCTGGTTTCCTGGGTCAGGATTTCTGTGTCCATCATAGATGTTCCTCTTCTCAGGGCCTTGAAGGCTGAAGTGAAGTGGTTGACCAGGCGAGACCCCACTGAGGCTTTTACTCCTCTTCTAAGCTCACTGGTAGTTGGAAGAATACATTTCCTGGTGGTTGGTGTGATTAAAGCCTCTGTTTTCTTGCTAACTTTCACTTGGGAACTGTTCTAAGCACCACAGGCTTCCCCCAGATCCCTGGTGGTCCCTCCAAAAAAAGGCCTTTTACCAACTACAGACAGTTTGGTTTCTTTTGGGCCAGTGAGAGCTGTCTTTACGGCCCTGATTAATTCTCTTGAGAAGGCCTGGGCTGTTTGGAAGGGTCCACTTGGTTAGGTCAAGCCACTGGGACAAACTCTTGATTAACTCAGTTAACTGATTAAGGACCAAATCACATCTGCAAAATCCTTTTTGCCCTATAATAAGCCATAATCGCTAGCCAAGTATTTCATCATATTAACAGGTTCTGCCCCAGTGCACAAGAAGAGTGTTATATAGGGTGTGCATCTAAAGATGGAGTCTTGGAGACATCCTAGAATTCTACCATAGTTTTTGCAATTGTGTCAGGACGTACATTTCCTGAATGTTAAAGATTGCATTTTACTGAGGGCCCAAAGTATTATATCATTAGAAGATATTTTGGAATTAAATTTTACATTGTTCACATATTCAGCCTGTGGATTTACCCGACCTTCTTGCTGTTAGGATCAGAAAACAGATTATACATATACCTGCTTCCCTGTTTGTTTTAAAAGGATGTTTGATAGGCCTTCCAGCTTCTGAAGGAAAATATGTGACCCACTTGTTATTAAGTGAGTTCTTTAGGTTTACCTTTGCATTGAATGCTAACAGTAGAACCCATAAGAACTTTAAATTTTTTGTGTGCTTTTTAAAGTTTCATTCTAATTGTGTATCTGTATGTGGATGATCTTGCATTTTTGTTGTACTTGGTTGTAGGGCATGACCAGGAGTTAACGCACTGTTGCACACACCCCACCCAGCGGCTCGTGGTGACCTCCTCCCGTGACACAACTTTCCGTCTCTGGGATTTCAGGGACCCTTCCATCCACTCCGTGAATGTTTTCCAGGGACACACGGAGTGAGTTGCGGTAGTTCAGAGATCCATTCTTAACTATTCATGAGAACATTCTTAACTATTCATGGGTTGACAATAAAATGTATATCTAATCTTAATTTTCAGTATTTGCAACTTTATTCTCTTTCAAAATGTTTTTTTCCTGAGCATTTAGCTGCATTTTTGAGATTTCCAAGAATTTAGGAGATTAAGAAAAGATACTTAAATGCTATGAGGAAATTGGATGGGCTTGGACTTGGGACAGTAGGGGAAGAGAGAGGAATCAAAACACTCGAGGGTTTGTGGCACAAGTAACTAGTATGGTCATGTCATCCATGGAGAAGGTCCAGTTGCAGCAGTTTGTAGCTGCTCAGATCATCTTACTAAATGTTTTTAGTCTTGTTTTTTGTTACTACATGTATTTGCAGCATATGTTCTAAACGATGCACATGTGTGTGCACACACATACACACACACACGCTCAATCTCATGTATGTCCTTCTCTGCCTGGATTTCTCTTAGGCCCCCTCATATATAAAGATGTCTTAACAGAATTGTGGTTTTTTTTTTTTTTCCAGAAACTTATTCTTCCCCCAGTCTGACCCTTCTCAGTCTCAGTCAATGACAGTGTAACATCTGTCCAGACACACAGACCTTTGGCTATTTCTTGATTTTTCTTATTTAAAACTCTCTTTCATGAGTCCCCCATCCAGTCTGTCAGCAAGACTGATGTTCAGTCATACCTCCCAAGTGGATCCTGACTTCTGCTCCCCAGTGCACTGCTTCCCCTCCAGACTCTGTCTCATCTGGGTGACAGTGCTTGTCTTGCTTCTTACCCTGATATCCAAATAAGTGCCTGCCCATCATAATACTCAGTGTTAGACACTAAAGTTTAGATTTCATGTTCAAAATGTTAATGAAGTGTTTGAGAGGAAATTGCTTGAAATTGATTAAATAATACTTGAGTCTGAGAGCCTGCAGGAACATTAGTGATTACAAACATATATTTTAATATATTACCCAGAACTTGACATATGTTGAGGAAAGTTTTTATTTTACTAGCTTGGGTTATGATAACCAAAGTAAAGGAAGATGTCTGTTAATCAGTGGCTGAACACAATACAGTGTTGCATTGCCACTCCCTCACAGTATGGCCTGGCCCTAGTTGGGCCCTTGAGAGCCCCATTGTGTGTGGTTCCACCCTTGTCAGGGCTCAGTCTTGTATGTCCTCCTTGTTAGTGGGGAAGAGGTCATAGCAGGGGTGCAGCTGCTTCTCAGCCACATTAGCCTGGATGTGATACTCCCCCGTATCTACCATGTGCAAAGGAGACTCACATGCAAATAGCCCTGTCTGGCAGCAGTGCATTCCAGGGTATGTGAGGGGCCATTCTTGCTGTACACCAGAGTGTACAGTGAGGGCACTCAGAGACCCAGCAGTGAGGATTCACACTTAGACAATCTTACTTATGAAGCTGAAGATTTTTTCTAAGCCTTTTATTTTGAAAAGTTTCAAGCTTCCATAAAAGTTATTTGAAAGGCAGTGAATGATAAAGACAAGAGTGCTGGTGGTTCATTCCCCAAATGCCTGCAGTAGCCGGGACTGTACCAGACAGAAGCCAGGAGCCTGAAACTCAATCTAGGTCCCCCATATGCAGGGACCCAAGTACCTGAACCATCACCTGCTTCCTCCTTAGGATGCACATTAGCAGGAAGGTGAATTGGAAGCAGAGTAGCCAGGACTCACACCATGTACTCTAATATGGAATGTGAACATCCCAGGAGGTTACTTAACCACTGTGCCAGACACCTGTCCCCATTCATTGCATTTAGATATTACTTCCTCTGTCCTCGATTTTTAATCTGAGATCGTCCTCCTCTCATTTTTGATTGTCAGTTTTTATGACATTGGATTTTCCTGTGAAGAACCTGAAGCAGCTGTCTTGTAGTGTTCCGTGTTTTGGCAGTTTTTTGATGAAAGCATGTCTCAGCTGTGATTGTATGCTTTTTGCATCATACCAGATACACATAATGCCAGATATCTCGCTGTTGGGTATGCCCATTTGTATCCTGCGGTTAAGGTGTTGTTTGCCACTTCTCCCTACTTGGAGGTATGCGTTCCAGTTTGAAGTTAGTAGGAGATACTTTTAAGATATTCATATCTTAATCCTTAGTATTGTTTCATCCAATGGATCTAAATATCACTGTGGATCTTTGTCCCAAATACTTAGTACATTAATGTTTCAAAAGGGTGATGTTTGTAATTCTGTCATTCTTTCTGTACTCATTATCTGGCACTTTATTTTTTGAGTCTGAGCATAGATTTGTAGACTTAATAGTTGTGATCCTTGATTATCATTTTTATTTCTGGCTTTAAGTGGACTTGACTGTGGGCCTCTGTACCTTGCACACGACCCTTTGTCTCTGAGTGCTGCTGCCCTGGCAGAGTAAGGTGGGCTAGGTTGGAAAAAGCGAACAGCTTCTTAATGAATTGACTTCTGTACTAGATCAAGAAAAGTCCATTAGATAGTTGAAAATTGAATTAAGCAGGAAGTTTTGTGTGTAGAGAATAGGGCAGCTGTACTTCAGTTGTGGAGGAGGAGATGCAGTCACAAGGAGATGGGTCCGTGTTCCCCTGCCATGCTTACTGCTGCAAGGACTGAACGGAGGCGCTTGCTGGGCCTCAGGGAGGGCTGAAGCATTGTGTCCGGAGACGGGGTCAGAATGATCAGGGTTTGGTGAGTCCTTGGTGTGTGGCATTTTACAGGTTGGACTTGCTGACTTTCACAGAGTCTTGCTGGTGCCATCTCTGTTCAGGAAGAAATTGAAGGAGGCCAGGTGATTGAGAGAGCTGCCTGAGGGAAAGTGAAGTTTGAGTCTAGGAAAGTAATTCTAGAGCAGTCTCTGCTGGTGCGTCCCAATTACTTCGTAGTCTTTGTTATTCAGAGACCTTTTTGGTTGCATTCTGGCTCTTCTGTTGCCCTATTGGATTTGTCTGAAAATTTTATTTTTGTTTTGTTTTATGCAGAATGGGGCAAGAATGTACTTGGAATAGTGGGAGTTTATGGAAGTGCATGTTTTAGCTTTTTAAGGATTTTGTTTTTCTTTTTTTGAACTTTTATTTAATGAATATAATTTCCAAAGTACAGCTTATGGATTACAATGGCTTCCCCCCATAACTTCCTCCCACCCCCCGCCCTCTCCCTTTCCATTCACATCAAGATTCATTTTCAATTCTCTTTATATACAGAAGATCAGTTTAGCATATATTAAGTAAAAATTTCAACAGTTTGCACCCACACAGAAACATAAAGTGAAAAATACTGTTTGAGTACTAGTTATAGCATTAAATAACAATGTACAGCACATTAAGGACAGAGTTCCTACATGAGGAGTAAGTGCACAGTGACTCCTGTTGTTGACTCAACAAATTGACACTCTTGTTTATGGTGTCAGTAATCACCCTAGGCTCTTGTCATGAGTTGCCAAGGCTATGGAAGCCTTTTGAGTTCGCCGACCTTGATCATATTTGGACAAGGTCATAGTCAAAGTGGAAGTTCTCTCCTCTCTTCAGAGAAAGGTACCTCCTTTGATGACCTGTTCTTTTAAGGATGTTTCAACAATAGATTGTTTCTCATTTGTCTCCCTCTGGTTGTAAAACCTTAGGGAATGCTGGTATTTTGTCTAAAATATGTATTTGTGGTGTGTTTTTGCAACTGTCATGTAAATGAAGTAATAGTTAACTTTTAGAGAAATAAACTTATGAGGAATGCAGCTGGCTATGAAGGAGTTCTTATATTTAAAAATATTTATTTATTTGAAAAACAGAGGGAGAAAGACAAAGACAGCTCTTCCATCTTCTGGTTCACTCCCCAAATGCCCACAACTGCCCGGGTTGGGCCATGTTGAAGCCAGGAGCCAGGAACTCAGTCTGGGTCTCTTTCATGTAGGTGTCATGTACCTAGGTACTTGAGCCATCAGTTGCTGCCTTCCAGGATGTACATTAACAGGAAACTGGAATCAAAGGCAGAACGAGAACTTGAACTCAGGCACTCCAATATGGGAAGTGTTTTAAGTGCTGTGACAAGCCCACCCTGAGTTCTTTTCTTAAATGTAGATCTGTGATCACAGAAAGTTTTAAGAGTTTATTTGTTTATTTTAAAGTTTGAGTAGATACTAGATACCTCTTTTTTTTTTTTTCTAGATTTATTTATTTATTTGGAAGTCAGAGTTATACAGAGAAGGAGAGGCAGAGAGAGAGAGGGAGGGAGGGAGGGAGGGAGGTCTTCCATTCGCACCGCAAGTGGTGGCTTTACCTGCTACGCCACACACCAGCCCCAAGAGCTTATTTTTAAATTAATCAGGTGAGAGTTCAGAGTAAATGTGGAGTGTATATTTCACATGAATCCTGTCTCTCACCTACATCTTCCAAGACTTAAGTTAATACTTGCATTCAGTCTACAATAATGAGAATCAAAGTTTTAAATGAAAATAGATATACCTATGTGCAGTACTACTGTTATTCAGATTGTCTGTGTTTTCTCGTTAAGTATGAACAGTCATTCTTTATTGATAGTAAATCTGAAAGTAAGTTTGAGAAGATTTTTCTTTGTTGTAGAGTGAGAGAAGAGAAGTTTAACTTTCTTTAAGCCTTTCTGAATTGGCAGGTCTTACTAGGAGTGTCTAGGCTGGTTAGCTCTTCTGCCTCCAGGGTCTGTGTAGATTAAGGGTAGCTTAGCACCATTGCCTGGGGTGCCCTGGCACCACTCCCCATGCAGGCTTAGGACTTGGTCAGCAGAGGGAGCTATAGATGTCTTTATTGAATACAAAAATATTTCTTTCTTTTTTTTAATTTTTTGACAGGCGGAGTGGACAGTGAGAGAGAGAGAGACAGAGAGAAAGGTCTTCCTTTGCCGTTGGTTCACCCTCCAATGGCCGCTGCGGCCGGTGCGCTGCGGCGATCCAAAGGCAGGAGCCAGGTGCTTCTCCTGGTCTCCCATGGGGTGCAGGGCCCAAGCACTTGGGCC